ACGGGCCATGTTGCACCTCCTTGGACTTTAAAAGAAAAAGTGGGATTTTAAGGGCCAACACGGGTGGCCGTGTTTCCTGACGTATGCCGTGTTGGCTTGTGATGCCGATTTCCTGACTTTTTTCTATTCCGTCCATATGTTAAGTTGTGAGAGCGTTTTGGGTACTTCCAACTGATCTGAATGAATTGTGGTTATTTAGTTGAGTTTTCACAAGGAACCAAGGACTTTTTGACACCAGAAGAAGAGAAGACCTAAGAGAAGATTAGAGGATTCAAGTGTTTTGGTGGAGGAAAATATTCATGAACGGAAAGGATTCAAGATTCAAATTCATCCAAATACTTGTAATGTCTCAATTTTATATTTTGTTTTCTTTGAATACTATGAGTAGCTAAACCCCCCAATACTAGGGGGTGTCCCTAATTTGATTTTGTAAACAACTTTGAGTTCGAAATTATTTAATGCAATAGTTTTTCATATTCAATTTAATTATACAAGATTTTCTTATGCTTTCCCTATCGGGCCAATAGGGATTGATTTACGGTTAACAATCTGCTGGACCACAATTGTTAAGGTTTTTATACGATTAGACTATAATAGATATCACCTAGACTAGGGATACCCTGTAGTTGTCGGTTAATTCTTGATAATACAAATGCTTGAGTTCATCATAAATCTCTAAGGACTTAGGATTTAGGGTGAAGGTACAAAGGTTTTCTCACTACGGACTCAGGGGAAAATAAACTAAAGATTTGTAATTGAGTATTTTGAACTTGTTGAAGAAATAAAACTTCAAGGTTGTTACAGAGAAAATTATACACCTTACCCTATTATGCTCCACATACCTGCAAAAAAGCCAATTTGTATTTCTGCTTATTTTACAGTGACAATAACCAAACAAAACCATAATTTAAGTTTTTGTTTAATTCAACCATGAATTGAACTCGATACCTGCACGCAGTCCTTGAGATCGACATTCGGGGAATTTCCCTGTTATTACAAGAGGCAAAAATAATACACTTTCTATTTTTTCGATCAAGGTTCTTCATGAATGAGAACTTGGCATGAGCCCCATTAGTTGAGAAACACTACTCAAATGCCTTTTCCGGTTGAGCTCTCAGATAGTCGACCATCCATTCAATTGCATCATTATGATTGATCCGGGAGTGGTTAAGTAACCTCCCTCTGATAGGAAGGTGCATCAGGCATGGAACGTCATTAAGTGTGATCGTTATCTCCCCAACAAGAAAGTGTAAAGATGACGTCTCCTTGTGTCATCTCTTGACAAATGCCCCCTGCACGTCGTGGCTAATAGTAACATAACTGGAACAACAAAGTTTGGCAAGTCCAGAGCCAATAATGGTCTCCCTAAATCAATTCTCATTAGGATGATGTAGATTAAATATTGTTCGCACGTGGTTCACGGACTTTAGGGGCAACCGTTCCTGTAAAGATAAATATTAATATCAATGTTAGTCGTTAACATGTTTGTGCGTAAATCATTTAAATGAAAATGTGTAATAAAAAATATACCTTTCCATCTCATACATGTCAGGCGGCATGATCATTATAATAGATCAAGAGGGAGGTGTCAGAGGCTCCTCCTGGATACTCCGGGTTTACCTGTGCAGCTTGTGTATCATGGACAGCATGTGCCTGAACATCAACCTCCTCGGGTGCCTGAACATCAACCTCTTTGAGTTCCTGCTCAACATCCTGAGACGAGGACGCATAAGACATGCGACTCTTCAGAGCAGAAGTTGATGCTCCTGCCACTTCCTCTCGCAGTACTCGACCCTGTTCTCGACCCCTAGTTGCCGCTCAGCTCTCTCACACCGAGCGGAGGTTGACTTGGTCTGCCAAGTCTCAATCTGTTGTTCGGGTTCTGAGCCATTTTCCTGAAAAAATTAATCATTACTCAAAGGGAATGAACAAATCTGGAGAAAAAAAAACAACTCATGCATAATTTCAGATGTCCTTATCTGAAACTACTCAGAGGGGTTTTCGGATAAGCACATCCGAAAATACATGCAGCTATCATTTTTGAGTAGTTGAGGTTTCTTGCCGTAAATAACCCAAAAACTTCATTTCCACACCCAAACAGCCACATTTTATATGTTATACTTCAACTTATTGAATTTAAATGATTCTAAATAACCTATGATATACACATGCAAAGTAGAACAATAGATTCAGAGAAAATTACTCAAATTCGAAATTTTGGAGAGTTGTTAAAATGAGCTTTGATTCTTGAAAGTCTCAGAAAAATTTCCTCAAATGCTCAGTAACTTGCTCAAATTTTGAAAAAGAGAGATTTGGGTGTTTATGTGAACAAAAGAGAGGATAAGGGGTTATGTTCCAAGCCAAAATATGTATTTAACACGATTCGGATATGCATCTCCGAAAACTCCCTGAACTTAAATTATGTGGGTTGATTTAGAGATGCACATGTGAAACCTCTTGATCTTAACAAAAAAATTATTTCAAACATGCATATCTGAATTCCTCCCTCTAAATATGTTATATGGTGAGCTCGGATATACATATCCAAATTCTAAAGATATTTTTGAATTTTTACCAAAGACTTCTATGAAGACATAGAGGCATATTAAAAAACTCCCTTTTAAAATTGTGAACAGATTGACCTATTAAAATTTTAAACTCAAACATTTTGAAAGAAGAAGTGGTTAGAGGACACTTGAACTTGTTTGAACGTTTCAAAGTTCAAAATCTAATAACATCTTATATTTTTCATATTATGGATGCATTTAATTTGTTAAAAAATGAGATACTCGACAATATAATTTTTTTTAATCCTGTTCAATGCAGAAACTAATTATAATATTAGATAAAAAAATATGATAAGAAATTAGACAAAATCATGAATTCTTATCCCCCATTAAATTATAGAACAATATTTTGTCCTAAACACAAATTATAAAAAAATATTAAAATATATAATTTTTTACTCTCTTTCACATAATTTAATATTTTAATTCATAAATATAATATTAATATTTTATATATCAATAAATAATATTATAATAAAAATTACATTATTTTTATTCAGTTCATCAATATATCAAATAAAATGGAGAAAAAAAATTTATTTATCATTTTTCTTATCTTCTCATTATTTAATATTTTGATTCATAAATATCAATATTTTTGTATCAATAAAAAATATTATATAAATAATTATATTATTTTATCTGTTGCATAAATATATTAAACAAAGTAGAGTAAAAAAATCATTTCATCATCTTTTTTTCTCCTTATTATTTAATATTTTGATTTATAAATATTATATTTTATATATTAATAAATAATATTATAATAAAAATTATACTATTTTGTCTGATGCATAAATATATCAAGCATATATCAAGCAAAATTAAGAAAAAATTGTTCAGTACATTAATCATCAAACACAGTAACATACAAAAAATTATCTTATACTGTTTTGTACTATATACTATTGTTTTGTCCAATATTTCTTATTATGCAAATCAAATGTACCTTATATGTTAATATTTACAAATTTACAACTTAAAAATGATAAACAAATTAATCATATCAAACCCTATATTAATTAAAAAAATTTAACAAGTAATAGCTAAAATTTGAACATTGAATTTCTACCAAACTTCCACCCTAATCAAACCTATTTAACCATAAGTTTCATGCCACTTACACACTATTCAAAAACATTAGAATGTGAATTTTTTATCCAAATAATCAACCTTATTAATTTATGTTTAAAAAAAAACTCACATTTAGAATTATTTTTTAAAGTAACTTAATTTCAAAAAAAAAAAATTGAAATGTCAATTGAATTGGCGCTGCATTATAAAAATAAGAAGTATCTTCAACTGAATTGGCGACCGTATACTTTCATAAAAATTATTGTCAATTGAATTGACGCCTCCATTTATATAGTGATCGATTCAATTAATAACATCTCTTATAAAATACATACAATCGTCAATTGAATTAACACATATACTTTCATAAGAATTATCGTCAATTGAATCGACACCTCCATTTATATAGTGATCGATTCAATTAATAACATCTCTTATAAAATACATATAATCGCCAATTGAATTAACTAGTGTTGCCAACTGAATTGACGACCGCATACTTTCATAAGAATTGTCGTCAATTGAATTGACGCTTTCATTTATATAATGATCAATTCAATTAATAACACCTCTTACGAAATACATACAATCACCAGCTGAATTAACTACAGATGTGATGATCATCAATTCAATTGACACGAGTGAATTTAAGAAATAGGTAATCGTCAATTCAATTGACACCTCTTAATTCTAATTCTTTTTCTTTTCTTTTTTTTGAAAATGAGTTAATTTAGGAAATAGGTGAAAACCATGGTTACTTGGTAAATATAATTAAAATGTTGTTATTTGGATAAAAAAAATCTTAGAACGTTTGTATGGACCATCAACTATTTTTGTTTTATTTTGGAAAAGTAAGCCATTATTTTATTAAAAACACCAGCCAATAATGCATTTTACATATTTTATTTCCATAAAATAATAATTTTTCGATGAAAATCGTGAAACCAATTTTAATATTTTCATAACAGTAAACAATTCCTTCACCTCGTAGCCAGCAAACTGTTCTAAATTCATTAGAACCCAAATGCATAGAAAGAAGATGCTTCAACTTCAAACATTTACAACATGTTATGTGGTTCCATAACCACCATCTATCATCATCTGGTTCTTCTAAATCTTTATGTTAACTGTTTCAACCAAAGAACTGTAACACAAATTTCAAGGGATGCTTCTAACCTAGAATTACAGAAAGTACTTTGTAGGATATAAATAACTGTAAAAGATATATATAAATACAAGAATAAAGACAATTATACCCTTCACAAGATACCTATGTAATAATCCATACATATATACACAGCATGATACTTGTAAAGAACATATGTAACCAAACCATTTACTTTGATGCTAGTATATGAGCTACTTCTGTTGATTGAACTCCATGAAGTTAGAGCGACCAAGACCATTGAAGGGTTGATCGGAACGAGAAGGTGGCATGCCAGATCGTGCCTGCTGGGGTTGAGGATTACTCATATCTTGCATGGTTAATTGTGTAGAAAATTGGGAGAACATTCCGTTATAAGAAGGATTACCAGTGACGGCAATCAAATGATTCTTTTGAGCCCTAAGGCGTTGCAGTTCTTTCTTCAATGCTTCGTTGAGATCTGCAATCATAAAGTGTAGCCATGATCATATTTAAATGGTAAAACTTAATAACAACCAAGAGTGGAATCTGCAAATGGTTAAAAACTTCAAGCAATGATATTTCTTTGGAATTTAACAACTTTCAGGTTTAAATGCTTATTTTGCTCCATTCACAATTTCAATTCCTCTTTCTTTAATAAACGATTTTTCACGCACCAATAAATATGAAATGATACACATACCTTCTCTAAGTTGTGCTTGTTGCTCGAAAGCCTCTAACTTCATCTTGAGCTCCTTATTCTGAGCACTCAAATCAGTGGTGTCTCTCTGCATCATATGACTTTATTGATAAGTTCCCTGCCTTTATATTCTTTTGCACATTATGTCGCGTGTAAACAATTTGAAATTAACTAAAAGCACTAGATTCGTGCACGTGAGCAACATAGTTAGAAAGGTCTAAATTAATTTATCCAACCACCCAAGATAATTACTACTTCTATACTAAAAAACAATGTCTCAAATACATTGTAATATGTATATCGCTTTCCTTTAGTGACAATCACTCCCAACATCAACCAAGTGATTGGACTCAAGTTCCACTTAAGGATGGATCATTCGGACTAACCTGAAATCGAATTTCAGGTGAAACAATATTTGGCTAGAATTTACTTACCTCGCAGCCAAACTCCAGATTACCAGGGATCCCTTCACCTAGGAACCGGAGGGTTACCGCAAAAAAAAAAAATCTCTCCCAATATCGGGGAAGAAAATCCTCTAACATAGTCAATAGTCAGACAAATCAAAGGAGCTAAACGGAATAGTCTTGAGAATTCTAAAATTTTCCTCCTACCGGAGTAACCAGAGCATTGCATATGTAATGCTCCATCCTACAGTTGTCATATTAAGGTCACTGAAATATGAAGAAATTAGCACTAATTTTGTTGTTTTTTTATGAAATTATGTCTTAATCAGTGGAAATTTGATCAAAAGCCATGCCCCATCTCATAGAACCCAAGTATTTTTCTTTAACAAAAGATACAAAATAAACAGTTTTACTAACACAAACAGAATTGCAACACTAGTTTTAGACTATGCGATATTTCAAATCAAGGGGGCACATGCATAGACTCGGGACCCATCCTTTGGCCAAAGTTTGTTTTGTGTTCTATAATATTTGTTTTGGGTTGCCACATATCTACCCTAGTACATATGTAACATGTTAGTGCATATATGTATACATACACACCACCCACCTATAGTACATACATAGGTACATATGCATATATTCCTATTATTTAATCTTTGAGAAACTAACTTCACCCTACTTTTCATCTCATGAAACATAAAATAATTACAATTTAAAAATCAGGTTTTTTCTTTTTGAAAAAGTCAATGGTAGGTTCCATAAACAGTTGTTGTGACCACACAACTCACAATCAAAGAGAAAATAAATCTACATCATAGTTAAAGATGGAGGGCTCCAACAAACACTGACAAGAACAAGTAACCAACAAATTCAAAGTATCAATTCATAAAAAGCTACAATTCAGAATTGTGAAATGAAAAGGAATGAACATACCTGAAGGATGGTGAGTTGCGTAGAGAGGTTAGTTGCTTCAGTTTGAAGCGTCTGCACCTTCCTCTCCAGCTCACTTGTATATCGAGTTTTCCTCTCTTTTGATCGAGCAGCGGATTGTCTATTAGCAAGAATCCTGTAAAGACACACACAACAGTTTAATCACCAAACCAAATTCCCCATAACCCAAACATCGCCTTCATCTTTTATCGTTCATTAATTTTTAAAAAATGCTGCATGATGCATCATACAATTCGAAAGCATGTTATAATCAACAGAAACAACTAATTTAAAATCATCTACTACAAAATAAAACATATACAAATTAAAAATCAAATAATCATGAAGATCAAAATCAGACTCAAACAAAAACAATTGCTTTTAGTCTTTGACCAGAAATTTAATTAACACCCCAAATTCAAACCCCGAACTTAGAACCAATCATAAACACAAATAGAGTTTTTGTCTTGACTCTTCTGTTCCTAGGGAAAAGGGTCCTAATCTAGAGTTTGATCCAATGTTTTTTTATGAAAGCTTGGTATTGGGCCTTGCAACAAACTAATCCAAGAGGACCAACCCCGCCGTCCACTTGTGGGGGCATTTAAAGCCATAGCAAAGCTCTCTATGGACTAGCCCAACACATGAATTGTTAGTACCCTATGTGCGACCTTGAAACCTTGAAAGGAACACAGGACTCAAGCCTTCACCACTACCCTGTGGTGTAATTTGATCCGATGTTAAGTCAAATTCTCACTAAAAATTGTTCCAACAACAAGGATAGACTTGGTAGCTCTGATCGATTCGAAACCAGTTACAAATACAATTGCATTACACAGAATAAATTACTTAAATTTATTTTCTAACAAAATTAACTTCAAAGAGTATGTAAAAAAAAGTGATGATGATGATGATAAACCTTTTAGCTCTTTTAGGATCAATAAGAGCAAGTTCAGCAAGTTTCTCCGGCGGCATAGATTTCTTAACACCATCAACCATCCCCACAGAACACTCACCATCAAACGACGTCGCCGAAGAACCATCCATCGAATTACTATGCCTATGACGGTTCACCTTCCTCTCTTCAACTCTCTCCTCACCACCTCCCGAAAACCCTAATCCGTCAAAGAACTCAGAATCCACAGACAAGCTCCGGAGATGACCAGACTTCCCGTTGGACTCATCCGAATCGACCGTCATCGGAACGGCGTCGGAGACGGGAGACGGAAGAGGGAGGTTGGAGATGTCAAAGTCCGACGGGTCGAAGAGGAGAAGGTCGTCGAAGTTGGCGGCGAAACGGAAGGAAGTGTCGGAGTGAGAGCGACGGTGGTGGGAGCCACGCTCCGGCATGCGGTCTAGGTCGATTATTACCGGCGGTGATTTTCCGATGAACTTAGGGCCCATCGGAAGAGGTTGCGTTGTGATTGTTGAAGTGGTTGTTGAAAGTTAGTGATTGTGGGAAAGAAAATGAAACTTGACTTTTGGTTTATTATTACCTAAAGTTGAGGAAAGTGTGTAACCAGTGTTGAGATTATGGTTTGATTGGATGGATGTAGGTAGGAGTGGCGAAATATATTCGGCTCCAGCATTTGTCCGTTTTGTTCATATTTTAGTGTGGGGTGGGTCTAGAATTTAGGTTCTCACTTTTTAACGTGGCTGTCTCGTTCCGTCCTTTTTTTTTTTTGGCTTTTGCAGACATGAACATTAGCATAAAATTTTTCATTTCCGCATTCACTTTTTTGCGAGACAGACTTAAGTTTTAGGCTCTTATCCTCAACTATGTCTGCCATCATCCTGCTCACCATTTTTTGTGGATTTTTTCGGGGCGGACATGCCCATTTGCCACTCTTAAATATAAGTGATGGCAATGGCCAATAAACTTGATAGTCACTCCCTTCGTTTCAAAATAATTGTCATTTAAGATTTTTACATACAAATTAAGGTTTTTACACACATAATACGTTTACAAAATCAACTCTATTAATGTACTGAAAATAGTGTGGATAGTAAAAAGTAAATGACACAATTGAAAAAGTAGTAATCATTATTATATTGAAAAGTGAAAATAACAGTTATTTTAAAATAAAATTTATTTATTAAAATGACTATCATTTTAAAACGGATGAAGTATTACATATCAAATTTTATTTAAATATTATAATATAATTATTAAATATGAACATTCAGTGTATAAGTGTATAATTAACTTTATTATATTAAAAAATTATATAGTTTATATTATCATTCTGAGTGTGATATAATTGTCCTTTTGTATACATATGTGTTTCGTTCTGGTATCAGAATCGTGTATGCAGCTCTAAAATGAGGTGTTGCTTATTGCTATGGTGTGGTGATGTTACTGGACCTACAATGCTAAATGTTCAAATCTGTTTGTGAACAGTGGAAATGTAGTGAGCTTTGAATGAGAAAATCGTAGATATTTTAGCTCCAATGCTAGTATTTATAGGATGGTTAAAATTGGGTCTTTTGGACCTTTTAGTCCTAGGACCGGTCTGGAAGAGTTGCCCCCATACTTGATATGCCGTAATGCATAAGAATTCTTCTAAAGACCGATCGGGCATCACTTTGTTTACGACTTTGTGTTGAGGAGTGGAAATGTCTCTGGGACAACTCTATAAATGTATGTCTAATCATTGGGGCATTTCATTGAATGTCTCATGTGTGGTTCTAGGTAAATAGGTTAGGGAGTGGCGCGTCTGTCTAGGTCATTCGGGTGCACTTGAGTACACGTATATTTTTGAGGTGTCATTTAAACCGATGATTATTGATCTTCTAATTTCTCACGTTTTATTTCTCACGTTTTATGATGTTGATTCCTCTTTTCCCCTCTTATATAAGGGCTCCCTTGGCATTTCTCACAATTTTTGTTTCCCTCCTGCATTTTCTTTGTCATTCTTGTGCCTTATTTCCCTTTGTGTTATCATTTGGCAATTCGTGTTCCCAGTTTCCTTTCCAATTGACATGACCTTTGCATTGTCGACCTTTCTCTATTCAAACAGCCTTATTTCCTCCATCTTCTCCCTCAAGTACCATTTCTTACCCTATCCTTTTATATTTTATTGTCTTTCATTGATAACCTGGAGGATGTACTTGTAAATGTAAATGGAGATGGTGTCGTGACTTTTCCATATCGGTTATTTATGGAAATTTTAACATTCCTGGTGAGGAGCCTTTAGAGGTTAACAACCCTCTCACGAATTTGATAGTTTTTAGTGATAGTACTGGAATTGGGGGGAGGTTCCATTGAGAGTAGAAGTGGCCCTCCCAGTACTTTTGATGGGAATGAGGGGATAACTCCCACACTCTAACCTATATGGAAGCAGTTGCTCGCTTGACTTCCTCTGTTTAAGATCATGAAGAAATGGAAGCGGCATTTGCTTCCCCGAATGAGATAAGAGCCCTTTATTTCACTATTTTAAAGCAGCACATGGCATAGAACCTACTGATGGGGGGATTATGGATCATCTCATCTTTAGGAATAACAATCCAACTTCTGACATGCGTTCTCTTTTAAGCGATAGTTGGGAAGACATGGTAAAACGAGGATGTGTAGTTTTGGTCTAGCCTTCTGGCTCTAGACTTTATATTTGGGTTGACTCTAAATTGGTAGGGACAATTTCTATGTACAGATGCACATAGAAGGTGGAAGAGGCCCATATACAGGTGGGTTCGTCTTCTGATTGGACGGAATCCCATATTGATGAGGGCAAAAGAATTTGTAGTCATTATGATAGGTGTTGTATTATCCCTTTCTACAAATGTCTCATTACTCGCCTAGGGTTCAAGTTACCTTTCACTGCATTTAAAAAAGAACTATTAAATCGCCTAGTTATAGCCCCTTGCCAACTTCATCTATCTTCTTGGGCTTTCACCAAAATGTTCCAACATTTATGTGAGTATCGAGAAACTATGATGTCCATCGAACTTTTCATTTCTCCATATCACTACTTCAAAGGATCCCTTTCGCGGTCAGGGGATCATTTTTATCGGACAGTCGACCATGATGTTCAACTATTATATAGGTAGTTATAAATGTATCAAAGATCATTATATTTTTGCGAATCCACTGGCTTCAGAGGCTCATTCAATTTTCCGCAAGACAAAGTGAAGCTTCTGCTCTTGTTGGAAGATCAGACGCTTCTTCCTTTTCATGTTGGGAGAGAGTTATGAAATATTGGTCCTAAGACCATTTTGAACGAGAATCTCTTAAGTATGCATTTGTCGATGACAAGCTAACCCCGAATGAGGAGTTCTGATGACTTTCTGTGAACAACTGGGTTTTGAAGAGTGAAAAGTCCCAAGGAGGTAGGGTTCATAAAGTAGTAGATTATTAATTCTTGACCTATCCTAGAAGCTTATATTGCCAAAGAGAGGAGAGGACTTTTTGGTCAGGGGGAATTTTACTTTTTTTTGTGTGCCTTTGATGCCAACTACAAGTTTTTATTTTTGCATGCAGAGTATATGGTTTCCTTCAGGAATATTTAGGAGAGAATGAGCCAATGAAGGCTGCAAGTGCTTGTAGGGCCATTCCTTCTTCACACACTTCTGGTCCATCGAATTCGGCCAATGAGCAATCGTCCGTGGCTCTCAGTTTTGAGCAACCTTCTTTCGTTTCCATCTCATAATATGACCTTTATCCGGCGGATCACGCCAACAAAGGAGTGAGGAGGATAAAAGGTTGCATGATCTTCCCCTTCATTTGGCCTACAACCAAAACAAGAGTTGTCGGGATAAACATCCAAGTTATGGTAAAGGACAAAGTCTTCTGATTCTAGGGCTACCGAGATCCCCCTTGAGGTATTTAGTGTTGTAATTAGAAGGGCCTATAAAGGGTGTGGCTAATTCATATGTTTTACATATTGTTCCTTCTAAGTCATCCTTTTCCTGGTTTGAGCGCCCCTATTTTGGATAGGATGCCCTTTCTTTGGATATATCGCCTGAATCTTTCATGTTTTCGTCCATAGCGCGTGATCATATAGATAACATATATTTGATCCACAACAACATAAAAGGAGTTGTTTCATGTATTTGTACTTTTGGCAAGTACAATTGGTGCCCACCGTAGGCCCAATAAAACTGACTTAGGCCATACTCATCGTTACCCATTGTTGCTTTCAACATCTTCTCACGAGGATGTTTTGGCAAAGTTTTGAGAAGGCTATCAATATGTTCGTCTGAGGTTTCTTCATGTGGAAGAATATAGCTCTTTCTGAAGAAGGTATGTGTAATATGGTGGGAGAAGTGATTTTTTTGGTTTTATCCAAATGTGCGGATAACAAGAGTCGTCACCTACTTTTCTTTTATCCAATATTTAGGAAAGGTGAAAAGAATAGGAAAGACCTTGATAGATTTTGAGTTTGGGTGGTAAGTTATGAAAAGGGAAGGTGTTAGCACCCTTTTCATCCGTAGTTATCTACGGACTCTTAATTGCTAGCTCACTTTTGAAAATTTGCTTTTTTGTGTATGTGATTTGAAAATATTTTGAAAAGTCAAAGTACGGCCAACTTTGTAATGATTCTTTTATCAGTCCTCAAGAACGCGTACAAAGTGTTTTTGAAAATATTTCGAAAGTGTGACGTGTAAAAAATGTTTATTTTTGAAAAGCTTGTGAGCAAGCGATTAAAAGTTTCTTACCCACCCAAGGTCGTTCTTGTTCTTTTCCTTCTCCTTTAGAGATAGTGATATCCATACCATTAGTTAGTAGGCATCCCTATCCATTGGATGTGAAGGGACATATGTAGGGTCATCGAATGGTAATTTAAGGCAACATGTAAGAATATCTTAGCAATTTGTATCGGAGGGACTAGATCATTTTTCATAGGCAACATCGAAGGGTCATCGAGGGACTATGATCTTTATTTGAAGGGACTTTGCTAAAGTATCCCCACTTTTGAGGGACATGACCATGTTTCTGAAGGAAACAAAGAGAGGTTACCCTAGAGGTGTGTTGGCTCCTAAATTCGACACCCACGTTCTATTATCATATAGATCATTAATTATGATTTAGAAGAGTTTCCTACACAAGAAGGATTCGATCAGCTGATCACATCGAAGGCTTATCAAAGAATGACAAGATACTTAGAGAAATTTCTCTAAGTTGGAGTCATGTTGTTTTCAACGTCGAAGGAGCAACCTTTCGACCAAGGTCCCTGATTCCCAAGATCGAACGGTTTGAATTTTGAATTGTTGGAGGGAAAACGGTTCCCAGCAGTTACCAAGCGCAACGTGGCGTGGAAGTAGGCGTCGAGGGTTGTGAACGTGCCATGTGGTGTCACCTCGGAGCGATGTAACTGCCCAGCGGTTGCCTAGGATTTTTAGTATAAATACTAAGTGTTCCCGTAGTTATTAGGGGTGTTCATAATTGTATACAAGTCACTCATTTAGATTCAAGTACCCAGCGTGAGAGAAAGAATCATTGAGAATGTATGTGTGAAACACCATTTACCTTAATCGAAATCTTTTACATTCAAGCAACTTATCGCTTTCATTTATTTATCTCAGTCGAAGTCATTTATTTAACAAGCCTTTAATGATTTTATTTACTTTATCAAGCTTTTCTCCATGCAATTTACTTAAAGTGTCTCTACCTTACTTGCATTAATCACCATTAGGATTAGTCGAAACTCTCTATTTTCAAGCATTTAAACAAGTAAAATCAGCCATGTCTTAGGATCAATCTGATCGATCCAGCGAGTCACCAAATAAGTTACCTTTTGGAAGATCAGCGGTTGTTTACCATTTTTCACGGTAAATAAATTGGCACACCCGGTGGGACCTTGTGTTGATTTTACGAGTTTAATCGTTTTTTATAAAATATACCCCTTCTTCGAGAGTATTGCATGTTATTGAGAAGTGGTAGAATATACACCAACGAAACCAATACTAGGAGAAGAAGTAGAGAAATGGCGAATCCGCCAAACAATGGAGAAAACCCACAAACAAATGTGGGCGCGGCGGTTATTCCAACCACAAGCGAAGTGGTAACCGCTGGTTCAATGCCAGCAGTAACGGTTACACAAACGGGGCCAATGCCTTCATTTACAGGCCCTAGAATGCCTTTGGGAACTCCCCCACCAAGGGGAAACCAAGGAACCAGACCATATGTTCCCCCAGGTTTTTCGACAGCATGGATAAATCGAGAACCACCATACTGCATGCCAACTTCTGAATTGACTAGCCTGACGAACGCTGCGTCCACCTTTTCAGAACCTTTAGTGAGCGCCTCTTCGCCACTCCAAGGCTTTGGAGTTGGTATGGCGAACATGGGTAGGAACCAACTCTTATGAGGAACATCCCACGTAATGCCTGGCCTTACGAATGCCTTGACAGCAGTCTCGAGGCAGCAAATGGACGAAAGCAACCACGACATGGTTCAAACGTTGGCACAAACTTTAAGTACAGTGCTAAATCCTCTAATACAGAATACCACCCAGTCGAATCAGCAAATGACAGCGCAAATGTCGCGTCTGGCTGACTTTTTTGGGGTACCCCAACCCATTCGACAACCCCAAAGGGCACAGATAAGGGGAAACCAAGGCATACTTCTAGAGGAAGAAACCACTATTAACCAAGTCCAGCAGCCTGTCGAAGAGAACCTTAGGGTACAAATGGAACAACCCGGGGTCGAAGAGCCGAGAGTCGTAGCCCCGAAATAAGGATGGTTAATAGAAACCAAAAAGCTGACGAAGTAGTTCAGTAAATCCAATACCAGAATGTTGGTTTGGAGAATAACTTGACAGCCATGATTGAAAGAATCATGATGCAAAACGGGATGAATACGGGCTTCCGTAGGCCCAACTTCACATCCCCGCTGTCAGAATATGTGTTACAAACGGACTTGCCTCCTAGATGCAAAGTCCCTAAGTTCACTAAGTTTTCAGGGGACACGACAGAATCCACTGTCGAACATGTGGCAAGATATTTAATTGAAGCGGGAGAAATCTCAAACAATGAGAACCTAAGGATTAAATATTTCCCAAGTTCCCTAACAAAGAATGCATTTACTTGGTTCATAACTCTCCCCCCCCCCCCCCAATTCGATCCACCATTGGACCCAGTTGGAGAGATTGTTCCATGAGCAATTCTACATGGGACAAACCAAGATAAGCTTGAAAGAGTTGGCTAGTGTAAAGAGGAGATTCACTGAGCCTACATACGAATACCTAAATAGGTTTAGACTGCTCAAGGCAAGATGCTTTACGCAAGTGCCAGAGCACGAGTTAGTCGAAATAGCCGCTGGAGGTCTAGATTACTCCATTAGGAAGAAATTAGACACTCAGTACCTGAGGGACATGGCCCAATTGGCCGATAGGGTTCGACAGGTAGAACACCTTAAAGCTGAAAAAGCTAGGGCGACGAAAACTCATAAAAGAGAAAAGATAGCATATGTCGAAATGGACGATGAAGATCCAGAAACATTCGACGAACCTATAGCCGTCGAGGAGAGTGAGGTCGATTTAGCTGAGTTAAAACAAGGGCCACCATATGTATTTAACACGATTCGGATATGCATCTCCGAAAACTCCCTGAACTTAAATTATGTGGGTTGATTTAGAGATGCACATGTGAAACCTCTTGATCTTAACAAAAAAGTTATTTCAAACATGCATATCTGAATTCCTCCCTCTAAATATGTTATATGGTGAGCTCGGATATACATATTCAAATTCTAAAGATATTTTTGAATTTTTACCAAAGACTTCTATGAAGACATAGAGGTATATTAAAAAACTCCCTTTTAAAATTGTGAACAGATTGACCTATTAAGAGATTTTGAGTCTATTAATTTATGTAAGCAAAAAAAATTTAAACTCAAACATTTTGAAAGAAGAAGTGGTTAGAGGACACTTGAACTTGTTTGAACGTTTCAAAGTTCAAAATCTAATAACATCTTATATTTTTCATATTATGGATGCATTTAATTTGTTAAAAAATGAGATACTCGACAATATAATTTTTTTTAATCCTGTTCAATGCAGAAACTAATTATAATATTAGATAAAAAAATATGGTAAGAAATTAGACAAAATCATGAATTCTTATCCCCATTAAATTATAGAACAATATTTTGTCCTAAACACAAATTATAAAAAAATATTAAAATATATAATTTTTTACTCTCTTTCACATAATTTAATATTTTAATTCATAAATATAATATTAATATTTTATATATCAATAAATAATATTATAATAAAAATTACATTATTTTTATTCAGTTCATCAATATATCAAATAAAATGGAGAAAAAAATTTTATTTATCATTTTTCTTATCTTCTCATTATTTAATATTTTGATTCATAAATATCAATATTTTTGTACCAATAAAAAATATTATATAAACAATTATATTATTTTATCTGTTGCATAAATATATTAAACAAAGTAGAGTAAAAAAATTATTTCATCATCTTTTTTTCTCCTTATTATTTAATATTTTGATTTATAAATATTATATTTTATATATTAATAAATAATATTATAATAAAAATTATACTATTTTGTCTGATGCATAAATATATCAAGCATATATCAAGCAAAATTAAGAAAAAATTGTTCAGTACATTAATCATCAAACACAGTAACATACAAAAAATTATCTTATACTGTTTTGTACTATATACTATTGTTTTGTCCAATATTTCTTATTATGCAAATCAAATGTACCTTATATGTTAATATTTACAAATTTACAACTTAAAAATGATAAACAAATTAATCATATCAAACCCTATATTAATTAAAAAAAATTAACAAGTAATAGCTAAAATTTGAACATTGAATTTCTACCAAACTTCCACCCTAATCAAACCTATTTAACCATAAGTTTCATGCCACTTACACACTATTCAAAAACATTAGAATGTGAATTTTTTATCCAAATAATCAACCTTATTAATTTATGTTTAAAAAAAAAAACTCACATTTAGAGTTATTTTTTAAAGTAACTTAATTTCAAAAAAAAATTTGAAATGTCAATTGAATTGGCGCTGCATTATAAAAATAAGAAGTATCTTCAACTGAATTGGCGACTGTATACTTTCATAAAAATTATTGTCAATTGAATTGACGCCTCCATTTATATAGTGATCGATTCAATTAATAACATCTCTTATAAAATACATACAATCGTCAATTGAATTAACACATATACTTTCATAAGAATTATCGTCAATTGAATCGACACCTCCATTTATATAGTGATCGATTCAATTAATAACATCTCTTATAAAATACATACAATCGCCAATTGAATTAACTAGTGTTGCCAACTGAATTGACGACCGCATACTTTCATAAGAATTGTCGTCAATTGAATTGACGCTTTCATTTATATAATGATCAATTCAATTAATAACACCTCTTACGAAATACATACAATCACCAGCTGAATTAACTACAGATACCTCTTAATTATTTTTTTTTTCTTTTTTTTTTTTTTAAATGAGTGAATTTAAGAAATAGGTGATCGTCAATTCAATTGACACCTCTTAATTCTAATTCTTTTTCTTTTCTTTTTTTTGAAAATGAGTTAATTTAGGAAATAGGTGAAAACCATGGTTACTTGGTAAATATAATTAAAATGTTGTTATTTGGATAAAAAAAATCTTAGAACGTTTGTATGGACCATCAACTATTTTTGTTTTATTTTGGAAAAGTAAGCCATTATTTTATTAAAAACACCAGCCAATAATGCATTTTACATATTTTATTTCCATAAAATAATAATTTTTCGATGAAAATCGTGAAACCAATTTTAATATTTTCATAACAGTAAACAATTCCTTCACCTCGTAGCCAGGAAACTGTTCTAAATTCATTAGAACCCAAATGCATAGAAAGAAGATGCTTCAACTTCAAACATTTACAACATGTTATGTGGTTCCATAACCACCATCTATCATCATCTGGTTCTTCTAAATCTTTATGTTAACTGTTTCAACCAAAGAACTGTAACACAAATTTCAAGGGATGCTTCTAACCTAGAATTACAGAAAGTACTTTGTAGGATATAAATAACTGTAAAAGATATATATAAATACAAGAATAAAGACAATTATACCCTTCACAAGATACCTATGTAATAATACATACATATATACACAGCATGATACTTGTAAAGAACATATGTAACCAAACCATTTACTTTGATGCTAGTATATGAGCTACTTCTGTTGATTGAACTCCATGAAGTTAGAGCGACCAAGACCATTGAAAGGTTGATCGGAACGAGAAGGTGGCATGCCAGATCGTGCCTGCTGGGGTTGAGGATTACTCATATCTTGCATGGTTAATTGTGTAGAAAATTGGGAGAACATTCCGTTATAAGAAGGATTACCAGTGACGGCAATCAAATGATTCTTTTGAGCCCTAAGGCGTTGCAGTTCTTTCTTCAATGCTTCGTTGAGATCTGCAATCATAAAGTGTAGCCATGATCATATTTAAATGGTAAAACTTAATAACAACCAAGAGTGGAATCTGCAAATGGTTAAAAACTTCAAGCAATGATATTTCTTTGGAATTTAACAACTTTTAGGTTTAAATGCTTATTTTGCTCCATTCACAATTTCAATTCCTCTTTCTTTAATAAACGATTTTTCACGCACCAATAAATATGAAATGATACACATACCTTCTCTAAGTTGTGCTTGTTGCTCGAAAGCCTCTAACTTCATCTTGAGCTCCTTATTCTGAGCACTCAAATCAGTGGTGTCTCTCTGCATCATATGACTTTATTGATAAGTTCCCTGCCTTTATATTCTTTTGCACATTATGTCGTGTGTAAACAATTTGAAATTAACTAAAAGCACTAGATTCGTGCACGTGAGCAACATAGTTAGAAAGGTTTAAATTAATTTATCCAACCACCCAAGATAATTACTACTTCTATACTAAAAAACAATGTCTCAAATACATTGTAATATGTATATCGCTTTCCTTTAGTGACAATCACTCCCAACAACCAAGTGATTGGACTCAAGTTCCACTTAAGGATGGATCATTCGGAGGAACCTGAAATCGAATTTCAGGTGAAACAATATTTGGCTAGAATTTACTTACCTCGCAGCCAAACTCCAGATTACCAGGGATCCCTTCACCTAGGAACCGGAGGGTTACCGCAAAAAAAAAAACTCTCCTAATATCGGGGAAGAAAATCCTCTAACATAGTCAATATTCAGACAAATCAAAGGAGCTAAACGGAATAATCTTGAGAATTCTAAAATTTTCCTCCTACCGGAGTAACCAGAGCATTGTATATGTAATGCTCCATCCTACAGTTGTCATATTAAGGTTACTGAAATATGAAGAAATTAGCACTAATTTTGTTGTTTTTTTATGAAATTATGTCTTAATCAGTGGAAATTTGATCAAAAGCCATGCCCCATCTCATAGAACCCAAGTATTTTTCTTTAACAAAAGATACAAAATAAACAGTTTTACTAACACAAACAGAATTGCAACACTAGTTTTAGACTATGCGATATTTCAAATCAAGGGGGCACATGCATAGACTCGGGAATCGCCACAAATGCATACACACTTTAGAGGATTTACATCGGTAAGGACTCATCACTGGATTAGAAAAATCCATTTCAAATTTTTTATAAAAAAAATCCTAATCTTCATTTTCAATGAATATATACACAACACATCACAACAAGAAGGATTGGAAAAATAAAGGCAACTAAAAACTCAAATAAGAACCCCAAACTCATTTTTTGAAAACCCTAAAACAAACGGCAATCAACTTTGATACATGAGTTTCTAGATTTTATTGATGAAATTCTTGCTTCGAGATGGAGAAGAGGAATGAATATTTAGGATTTTATTAAATAACTCTGGAAGAAGAAAAGGTTCTAAAAAACAATCTATTATTTTTGTTGGTTAATCTTAAAAGCATATGAAATGATATGGAAGAATTTTGTTACAAATCTATGAATTGAAGAATTTTGTTACAAATCTATAAATTTCTTGGCCGGTCTATAGTAGAAAAGATCGACATTTAGGCCAACATATATTCTTGTATATGGGTGGGTGGATAGGAGGGAAACATACATGTGTAGACTTACTTGACTGAGATTTCTCCCCTGGTGGGACTGATTTTTTAGCACAACAAATAGTTGATCTTTTACGGAGAGTGCAAAAATGAATGTAGTTTTTAAAAGGAATGATTTTGTCATTTAAAAAGGTGTATCGGTGCAGCTTATTGTCCATTTACCTGCTCTTTTCTGTATAATCTTGATTATATTAATGAAGTTCAAAATTTATATAAAATCTATCATAAAAAATCAGATTCAAATACGAAGCTCTGTTGTTGCTGATGTAGGAAGAGAAAGAAACGAAAAACTAAAAACTGTCTCAAAAGCTTTAATGACTTCAAATACCATTAAGAAGACTTTGGAAACTTTTATCTTGAAGAAATAGTGGATGAAACTGTGATTCTCTTTAAAGAAATGCAATCCAAAACTGTGACTCCTAATACAATAACATACAATTCCCTTAATGACAAACTTTGCAAATTTAGGAGAATCTATGATGTTTTAAGGAAATCACCTACTAATGTGATCACCATTCACCAACATTGTTTCCTTCAGTGGCATATTTCTATGTTCAATGCAACTATAATTGAATAAATAAACAGTAATCGATACATTTCAAAACCGAGGGCTCAAAGTTAAACATGAACTTACAAGATAATATCATTACTTGGCCTCCATATCCTGACAAGTTTGTCATAGAATGAGCAAGTGGCAACTACTGGTTTACTTCTCCCTTCAATGAGCTTCACTTCTCCTTTCTGCCAGTCTGATCCATATGCAAGTGAATCATGCTTCTTGTATGTTTCCAACACCTCAGCTTTGTCGCCTTTAATACCAACGATCGCAAAACCGTTGTGCATACAAGCAGCCAAAACAAGGCCTTGAATGACGGGATGGTGTTTCACCCTCCAAACACCTCCACCTAAACTGATTGAAGTTTCATTAACAGGTTTTGAGATTGATCTTAAATCCCAAACCCTCAAGAATTCATCATAGCTGCCAGTTAATAATCTATTTGGGTCATGAGGACTCTTTTCGATGCAAGTAACACCCATTGTGTGGACTTTGGAGTTCTTAAATACAAGATTGGAAGGACTGTCCCTCAAATCCCAACAACAAAACTTACAATCGTCAGAGCCAGTATAGACCAAATTTGGCTGTTGGATATCAAAAGAGGTTGTCCAAAGTTCAAAATCATGTGCCTTCCACTCCTCTTGTATTTCCAGCTTGGATTCAAGAAGAGAAACAATAGAGACACAGCCATCAGAAAGCCCAACTGTGATTGATGTGGATGAAGGATTCCAATCGAGGAACAAACACATTGAGTTACTAATTTTCTCACTTGTAATCTCTTTTAGACAAGTCCCTGCCGTTGAATCAATAACAATTTTTAATACAATGTAGCTCAGTAAAGGAATGAATGGCAGCTCTCTTTAGCAAAATATAAACTTAGAAACAAGAGAATATGATGGTGCGATTGAGTCCAAGAATAAATGCCAGTATTCAGTGTTGTCCATGGCGGAAAGCCAAAATCCCGCTATACCAAATGCTTTGCGGCACAGTCATTTGACAACACTGAGGGTAAATGCTAAAGAATTTATTTTTAGACTTCTATCAAGCTTGTAGTTGTACTCACCAGTGAAAATAGTGTTATAGAAATGAAAGAATCAAGAGACAAATCCATACCTTCCACTCCATCACAGCAACCATCCAGCCTCTTAATTCTCAAGTATCCATCAGCATCTGCTTGACCTAGAAAAGGACTTGTGTTCCCTGAGGGTGGATTCCACTTTATATCGAAAATCCCACTAGTCTCCTCACTATAAACGGTCTCAAAATTGTCTGTGTCCCCATCAACATTGAATAGTGAAATGCTTCCACATCTAGTGGGTTGATCACCTTCTTGTAGTGTGTAAGTGGACGCTGCTAAAACATTGTGGTGCCCATTATGTGGGCAAAACTCCACAGCATCTGCATTACCTTCTAAATAGCAATGTGCTACATCCATGCTGACCAAATAATTGTCTGTTATGAACCCACAAATAAGAGACGAATTCAAGATAGAATGAATTTCCTGTAAGGAGTTTGTAAATTGTTAGAATTCAAGATAAAATGTTCTGGAACTTAGGTCTTCTTCATATTTGGTACTTAGGCCTGTCTAATTGGCACACAGGCCTACTTTAAAACATTTTGTGCGCGAGAGTATTCAATGAATGACTTAAAACCGACTTCTGAAACAATAAGCATGAACACGAATTTATATGACACATTTCTTGCATTTAAAAATCTTACTAAGATTCTACATCTCACGAATATGAAGTACTAACGTCACAGTTAAGTTCTTATCTCATTCACAATTAACCACCAATTATACACTCCAAAAATCACCAATTTAATACACAAACAGTATATACTTATGGTTCATGATCAAGAGTTCCCATTACAAGCAAATGCTATATGTCACCAAGAAAGACTCAAATGCAAATAAGAAAACACATAGAAATAGATAACCTTAAATCAAAGCACAAATTCCTACATGCACGGGTATTCTAAAAGGAAAACCCACACAGAACATTTTACAAACACCTTATATGCACATTAAAAAAAAAGTGGAAATTTTGAGAATGCTGACCGTGAAGAAACTAGAAAAGAACAAACGGTGAAGCACTAGTTCTTGGATATTCCTCTTTCTTGGTGGAGATTGAAGTAGAGATGAATCTATTTTGAGGAGGGAACAGAGGTGAAGATGTTGAGGAGTGAGCGTGACTATATCCCGGTAAAAGAGAAGGGTGAGAGAAATTATTTATGAAAAAAAAATTCTCATATATATAAGAGAAATACTTTAAATATATGTCTTTGTTTGGATTAATGAAATCGGTTGGAACATAAGTATAAAATGAATAAAAATGATATTCTATTTTTTTTTGGATAAATTTAAAAATGGATAGAACATATTAGAATGGAGTGCTGTAGAGTCCATTTTGTTAGAAGTATAATTTTTGCTGTAATAGACCTCATGTATTCCAGCAGTCTGATCAAGATGAGTTGGTCTAGATCACAAGTACGGTAATTGGACAATCACTGACCCTCGCGCAAGTGTTGAATGGAATCTGGGTTCATTTCTTTCTAGTTGTAGAGACAAAGGGTTTTAATCTGTTTGACATCACAAGTTGGTATTTGAGATGCGGATCCTATTTATCCATTACTTGAATGCACAAGAGGTTATAGTTTTGGTATAAGATATAGAAAGATAGGGAGTGCTTTTTATGGACTTTTTTTTACAGAAAAAATAAGTGGGAATCAATACGCTCTTAATGATTACATGTTTTCATATGTGAGGTATGTCAATATTAGAGATTAGCTGTTGTGTTTCACTTGAAGTTTACTTCAAACTTCATAGGTGAAGCTGCAAATGAGTTTAAACAGCATTTCTCACAATAGAGGAACTAAGTGGAATCTTAGAATCTTAGAATCTTAGAATCTTAGATGTAAATCCTCTAAAGTGTGTATGCATTTGTGGCGAATGCATACAATAAAAAACCGCAATAAAAAACCAACCCAATAAAAAACCGCAAACCGAACCTAACCAAACCGAAAACCGCAAAAACCGCATTGATTCTAAGAGTCTAAATCAATTCCACTTAGAGTGCAGGAGAAGGCACGGCGGCGCCGGTGCCGGCCTTAAAGTAAGAACCGCCGGAGTTACCTCGGTGCTGATTGAAGCTTCCGGATCGGGCGGAGCGTCGGTCACTCTTATCGGACTTTGATTGATTGAAGAACATAAATCCCAATTCTTAACTCCTCGAAAATTAAAATTAAAGAAACAAAAAAAAAGAAGAGGGAATTTTTATATCTTCCCCCTCAACTTTCCCTGCAAGAAAACAACGACAACGAAATCGTGATCGGGTCGATAACATGCATTTGAGGAATTTGAAAATGGAATTGATAATGATTGGAATGTATAAGGGGAAAAAGATGCAGTGTGAAGTGAAAAACTGAAGAGAGTGATGTGTGTGAAATTAGGGTTTATATTTAGAGAGAGAGAGAGAGTACCTGAGATGACAAGAGAGAGAGAGATAGAATAGGAAAGAGATGGTGTGTGAGAGAAGGAGTGAGGTGAGAAAAATAAAAGAATATGAAAGACTTTATAACTTATAAGGCAGTTATATTTTTTAGGAGATTTGTTCTTTCTGTTGTACTTGTACAATGAATCTATAACGGAGGATTTAAGATACACCTCCACTTGTACATAGCATTCTCTTAAAGGTAGGAAAAGATTAAATTATCTCAATTAAAATATTCTTTTTAAATTTCAGTATGACATCCTGTTTTTCAAATTCAAATGAAGATATCGGAAATTTTAAGGTGGTATTGAAAATTTCAATGTCATATTAGAGATTTCACTAAATAGTAAGTAATTTATGATATTTTCGTAAAATCTCTAGTATTTTGTATCGAAAATTTCTAAATTTCTTATATTTTCTCATTAGAAATTATGAAATTTCTGATTATTGTGTTATATGTTATATCAGAAATTTTGAAAATTTTCAGAGGTTTAATTCCTGTATCTGAAATTTCGAAATTTTTTATGGTTCAAATCTTTTTGAAAAATACCGTAAATTTCAAAATTTTCGATAGTTCATTTTCTTCCTAATTTTTTCTTCCTTTATTCTTTGTTTCAATGATACATATTTTAAGGAGAGTGGATTCGAGCAATGCCCCTATGAACCAGCGCTCTATGTGAAGAAAAATGGAGGTGATTTATTACTTGTGGCTCTGTACGTTGATGATCTCATTTTTCTAGGCAATAATGTTAAGATGATCGAAGATTTTAAAAACACCATGACAAGAGAATTCGAAATGACAGACTTAGGTCTGATGAGATTTTTCCTTGGTCTGGAGGTTCGACAGGAAGAAGCTGGGATTTTCATATCACAAGAAAAGTATGCAAAGGAAATCCTAGAAAAATATAAAATGAAGAATTGCAACCCAATTTCGACGCCAATGGAGCCAGGCACAAAGCTGTCGAAGTTTGATGGAGGAGAACGAGTCGAAGGAAGGAAATATCGAAGCTTGGTAGGCAGTCTTCGATATCTCACATGCACAAGGCCAGATATTTCACTTAGTGTTGGCATAGTGAGCAGATTCATGGAGGAGCCAGTTCACACACACTGGAAAGCGCTGAAACGAATTCTGAGATACATCCAAGGAACAGTATCACTTGGGATGTTTTATTCAAAGACTGAAGACTACAAGCTAGTTGGATATTCTGACAGTGACTGGTGTGGAGACATTGATGATCGAAAGAGCACTGCAAGATACGTGTTTTTCATGGGAAACACAGCTTTCACTTGGCTATCGAAGAAGCAGCCAATAGTGACACTTTCAACGTGTGAGGCAGAGTATGTGGCAGCATCCTGGTGTGTGTGTCATGCTGTATGGCTCAGAAGGTTGACAAGTAAGATGAGGCTGAAGCAGGAAGGTCCAACAATAATACACGTGGACAACAAATCAGCTATTGAGCTAGCGAAGAATCCAGTCAATCATGAACGAAGCAAGCATATAGACGTTCGATTTCACTTCATACGTGAACATGTGAAAGAAGGAAGCGTGAAACTAAGGCATGTGGCAAGCAAAGACCAAGCAGCTGACATCTTCACAAAACCACTATCAAGAGAAGTATTCGAAAAAGGCAGAAAAATGATTGGGATGCTGGATCGAATAAGCATTTAATGTTTAAGGAGGAGTTTTGTTGAAATAAAATATTAAATGGGTTAGAAATAAATGATTAGTATTAACTATGGTAGTAGGAAAGGCATTAGTTTTTCTTTTGTAGTTATGTAGCAGTTATGTTGTTTAATTTACTGTTTTAGAATTGTAAAAGTTTTGTTTGAGTTTATAAAAGACCAAGTGTGTGTAAGTTATTTAAAAAAAAAAAGAGCAATATACAAGAAGTTAAAAGAATACAAAGTCTGATTAAAATTCATCATCAATAAGAGCAAGTTCAGCAAGTTTCTCCGGCGGCATAGATTTCTTCACACCATCAACCATCCCCACAGAACACTCACCATCAAACGACGTCGCCGAAGAACCATCCATCGAATTACTATGCCTATAACGGTTCACCTTCCTCTCTTCAACTCTCTCCTCACCACCTCCCGAAAACCCTAATCCGTCAAAGAACTCAGAATCCACAAACAAGCTCCGGAGATGACCAGACTTCCCGTTGGACTCATCCGAATCGACCGTCATCAGAACGGCATCGGAGACGGGAGACGAAAGAGGGAGGTTGGAGATGTCAAAGTCCGACGGGTCGAAGAGGAGAAGGTCGTCGAAGTTGGCGGTGAAACGGAAGGAAGTGTCGGAGTGAGAGCGACGGTGGTGGGAGCCACGCTCCGGCATGCGGTCTAGGTCGATTATTACCGGCGGTGATTTTCCGATAAACTTAGGGTCCATCGGAAGAGGTTGCGTTGTGATTGTTGAAGTGGTTGTTGAAAGTTAGTGATTGTGGGAAAGAAAATGAAACTTGACTTTTGGTTTATTATTACCTAAAGTTGAGGAAAGTGTGTAACCAGTGTTGAGATTATGGTTTGATTGGATGGATGTAGGTAGGAGTGGCGAAATATATTCGGCTCCAGCATATGTCTGTTTTGTTCATATTTTAGTGTTGGGGTGGGTCTAGAATTTAGGCCCTCATTTTCTAATGTGATTGTCTTGTTCCGTCTTATTTTTTTCGTGGGCTTTTGCAGATATGAACATTAGCATAAAATTTTTCATTTCTGCACTCACTTTTTTGCGAGACAGACTTAAGTTTTAGGCCCTTATCCTCAACTATGTCTACCTTTGTCCTGCTCCATTTTTTGTGGGTTTTTGCGGGGCGGACATGCCCATTTGTCACCCTTAAATATAAGTGACAACAATGGCCAATAAACTTGATAGTGTTAGCTGGGAATTTCGACCAGGTTAATATAGGAGCTTTTACATTTTAAAATTTCCATAAGACGGCTGAAAAAGAGTTTTATGTCGAAATACATTACTAGGTCTACGTCGAAGATAGTCTGAAAAGACAGATTGTTTATTTGGTCCAAAGAGCGCATTTTCGACGGCCACTTAAGAAAATCATTACTGAAGGCTTGAGCGGGATTATTTGAATTTCGAAAAGGGTTTCTTTGGATAAGAAGGACGCGTGGAAGCCTTAGAGTGTCGAAAGACATGCAAGAGAGCAACGTGGCCTTTTCCTAGAATAGTACCGTTATGGTTAGGACATTATAAATAGCTCTTTAATGTTAAGGAAAGAGAGGTCAGATTTCGTACAAAATTACTCACAAAAATACTCAAATATCAAGTTAAAGAGAAAGAGTTTCGTTGAGAATGTACGTATGACCTCACAATTTTATCTTTGAAATTGCACTTATCAATATAATTGTCTTTAAAATCATTCTTTTACAATTTCCTGCAATTGTTCTTAAAATTCTTTATGTTACGTTAAATTCTTTATGTTATGTCGAATTGTCTTACTCTCCTGCAAAGATTCATAGATCAAATTAAGTCACTTAATTTCAGTATTAAGTCTTTTTATTGTCAAACATTTATGTTCAAACCTTTTTTTGTTTAATTAAGATGCTTCGGCTAAAACTTTACATTTGAATTTAATTTCAGAAGCCTTGCACTCCAAACCTTTACATAAACACATGCACAAGTATCACTTCATATTTCACATAAGCCCTCAAGAAAGTGTTACAATTGACGTTAAGGCAATGTTCTAGGATCAATCTAGTCGATCCTGCAAGTAACCATACACATCAAATCTGTTTGGAAGACTAGCGGTTGTTTTGTCAGAAATCACTGCGAACAAATTGGCACGCCCAGCGGGACAGTGTCATAATATTTTAAGAGAAAACCAGTGGTAATCATAACAGAGGGTTTGAAACACTATTTTCTGGTAAGATACGCAAAATCGTTATATGAACCTTAGGAGTGGCAGAGTTACTATAGAATCTCAACCAATACCTAAGAAAAAAAACACCAGAAGAATGGTTAACACAACTAACGATCAAGGGGGACAAAATCCTCCACAAGGATCAGGAACAGTTGGTATAAATTCGACGACTAGTTCCCAGGCCATTCCAACATCAATGAGAGAAATGGCTGCATCTAATTCGAATCCACCTTACACAGGAACTGCTTTTGTGGCTAGTGCGACCAACGTGCCCCCCTACAGGGGTACATCAGAATCTCTGTCGAATACTCAAAATGGCCCTGTTCTAACATATGTAGGAGGCCAAATACCACCTTCGACACCACACAGGCCACCAGGATTCGAAAATTTTAGGCCTTTGACAGAACAGCCATATGGAGGACCCTCATCATCATTCATGAGAAGTTTACACAATGGCACTTCCACATATACTCAACCTAACATAAGTACTTTTTCGCCAATTCAAAATGCTGGTTCAATTGGTCGAAGCGCCCAAAACCAAGTCCTATCAGCCCAGATGCCTACTTTAACCACGAATACCCAAGTAGCACTTAGGCAACAGATGGACGATAGTAACCAAGATATGGTTGGGATATTGGCAAGGGAAATGAATACTATCTTTTCTCCCCTAATCCAGAATATAAACAGAACCAATCAAGAAAACACCCAATCATACCAACAGTTGTCAGCGCATATGGCGCGAATAGCAGATTTCTTTGGGAACCCCCAACCGCATGTTCGACACAGGCAGAATATCATATGGGTTCAAGAAGAACCAACTATAAACCAAGTTCAACAACCTAGACAGAATTTGGTCGAAGAACCAAGAATTAAACCGGTAGGCATTCGACAACCAGACCCTGAGGAACCACCCAGGAGAATAACCATGGTCAATAGAGGCCAAGATGCAGATGAAGTTGTTCACAGAGTGAGACAAGACCACTTGGTTGTCGAAAATAATATAGCAAATATAGTCGAAAGAATCATGGCTAATAATGGTTTAAACACAGGGTTTCGACGCCATAACTACACGTCCCCTATAGCGGAATTTATTCTATAAACAGAATTGCCAAGGGGTCACAAGATCCCAAAATTCACTAATTTCTCAGGGGATACAAATGAATCCACCATCGATCACATTGTCAGGTATTTGACAGAGCTGGGAAACTTATCAAACAATGAAGACCTAAGAATAAAATATTTCC